TTCAGTTGTCCGTATATCTGTTTGCCTGCTTGATGGTTTGACTGACTGTTTGTATGAATGTCTTTCTCTCACTGTTTGTCTGAATATTTCTCTGACCGTCTACCTGAATGTCTGTCCGTCTCTTAGTTTAGCATATTTTTGCTCTATTTCATAAAGCATGATTTCTTGCTCTGATTCTGTATGTCACAAAAGCTTAGCACAGTTTCATCGGGGTCGCAGGACGGTGAGCCGAAGACTTCTTCAGTACGCGGCAATACACCGTCGGTTTCCGGTGAGACCACATCACGAAATCCTTCCTACCAATTTTCGCTTCGAAAAGGAGATTCATGTCACAAAGTTCTCCTTGTGACATTCTTCGAAACCCAGTTTTTATTCTTTGTCTGTCTGTATGTCTATCTATATGTCTGTCTGTCTGTCTGTTTGTCTGTATGTCTGTATGTCTGTCTGTCTGACTGACTGTATGGCTGGCAATCTTTCTGTTTGTAGAAAAAGTGTATTCCGAAGAATCCCTTAATAGATTGATGTTGGAGTACCTTTCATTTCGTTTGAAGAGGCGAGTGGAAGGAATTCTTAAGCTGGTTACCCTGGCGGCTGTAGGGAGGTTGCCTTCGAGCTGTGTTTGTAGATTTGTGTGAACCGATCCTCAACGCACATTCTGACTAACTGCCTGTCTAACTATCTACCTGCCTGTCTGTCCGATTGTCTCTTCGGCGGCCTGTCTGTCTTATTGAGTGACTGTCTGGCTCTCTATCAGACCGATAGCTTGAGTGTCTATCTGTCTGTCAGTCTGTCTGACTGTTTGTCTGTCCATATTTCTGATTGTCTGTCTGTCTGTATTAGCGAATATCTGGCCGGCTGTCTGTCCGATTGCTAGTTTGAGTGCCTGTCTGACTTTCAGTCTGACTGTCTATCTGATTGTCTGATTGTCTGAACGTCTATCTGGCTGCCTCTCTCATTATATGTATGACTGTCTATCTAAATGTCTCTTTGACTGTCTATCTGTCTGTCTGTCTGGCTGTTTGTCTGTCCATATTTCTGATTGTCTGTCTGTATGTATTAGCGAATATCTGGCCGGCTGTCTGTCCGATTGCTAGTTTGAGTGCCTGTCTGACTTTCAGTCTG